AGGCTAAAAAGTTTGTTTGTGTGTGACCCTTTGACCCGGTCCCTAGGCCACATGCAGCAGGCTCCATACAGGAGCATGACTAACATTTTACATGAGTAGGAGTTCCATAAATAGTTCGAGAACTTTAATGCATGAAGGCATGATGCCAGCCAGTGAAGGGTAATTTTATGTTTCTATTAGTTCAGTAATGGTTACCTTAAGGAAGAGACCTTGCAGTCTGTCCATAAGTTGTGAGTAAGACTGAATTACCAAATTTCAGTTCATTTTATTAAGAGAATTATAGGCAAACGCCTTTAAGCTCACTATTGGTAACACAGTGATCAATACATGTATCTAAATAGAAGAGACATTTTTTAAGAATAGTACCTGGGCTCACTGACGATGCCAAGTTGCACGAGCCAATAGGTGGGACAAAAGCAACAAAAGCAGACATAGAAAACTCCTTGGACATTTTTCGGAAACTATGGCAGTTTGAATGTGATTTGAGGGGTTTTAAGGAGGAAAATTGTTACTCATGGAAGAAAATATCCGCGGGGTAGGACTGTCATGTTGATAAGAATGTGTTAGACAAGACAGGGGAGCCCATTCAGGGTTTTCTCGGTGTACTAAGAGTAGCAAAGAGGAGGGAACCGTAGAGGTCACGAGATCATCGCCGAAGTGCCGGAGATTCGACCATTATATGTCCTTGCTGATTGCCGAATCTGCCGACAAGGTGGTGAAAACAGGAGAACCCGCCACGATCGTCAACAGCCCGTTGCTGGTCGACATAAGAGAAATTAATGCATGTGGTGAGTTTAACCTGCAAGGATTTCATAATTTAATGTTACTTACAAATAGCCAGTAACACTATTAGAATGCACTTCTTGTTTCGCATTTGATGGTGTTGCTGTGGGTACCGCTATATCGGTCCAACTTCCCTTCAAAGGCGTCAACGGAAGGGAATATAACAACATTCAGGGATAGAGCATTCCAAGCTTCCACCATCGTGTTGCAAAAGGAGACCTTTCGTGTGTCCAGCTTAGCCTCAGCCACACTTCGCAAGTTCGCAGTAGTTGCTAATTCGAAGAAGTCACCAGGTAGAAGGCGGCAGTCCTGACCACGCATAGTACAAGATGTTTGTATCAGGTCACCTCGTAGCTGCCTGCAACTTAGAGGAAACAGAACAAGATTAGACAGACATCTTTCATAAGGAAATGAGCTCTGTCCGGTCACAAGTTTGGTTGCGCACCTTTGAAATGTTTTCGAAGATGTTGAGGTCTTTCGTGGTCCAGAGTCTCCAAGCTTGGAGAGCAAACTCCGGTTGTGGCCGCACAAAGGTTCCAAAGACTTTAGCGAAACAGCCTTCATCAAGGACAGAGAAAGCCCGTTTGATGAGGTGCAAGACAGACACCATAGAATTGACTACTTTTGCACAGTGCAACAAGGGTTTAAGCGACGTCGTGATCCACATTCCCAGTAACCTCCCAATTCACAACTGATAGCAATCTGACCTATTGAGACGAATGTTTTCATTCGAGCTGTGTATATAAATTTAAAAAAATAAGAATGCTCGTCGCTCGCCGGAATTATTTTTTATTCGCCTGAGCTTTAGGACTCTTACTAGAGCGCACCGTCAGAGATGAAAGTGATAATAGAAGCAAGCAACAGTTACTGGGCCCCCGATGAAGACTCATTCCATCGATTTATCGATCTGGTGCCGGTATGCAGACTCATGCACAGTCACCTCCGAAATGGCCTCCATGGTGTCTAACTGGCTCCTGCCCCCTATCATTGCTGCCTGTTTTTGCTGCCACCTTTACCTCTGACGGTTGATTCTATTAAGAGTTTGAAAGCTCAGACGAATGCAACCATAATTCCGGCGAGCGAAGAGCTCCCTTCCTCTTTACGCATGCATCTAACTTCACAAAGATAAATACGCTGCCATGCAATGGCGATTAATTCATCCTCGTTGCTGGCCTCACTATCCCTTCCGTCTAGTATACCGCAATTGACCGCCGGGTCCTGTCAGGCAAGTAGTTAAAAGATTTGGTGCAGTCGCTGCCCAGACTGAATGGTCCATTTACATGCGCCAAACAGTAGATGTCTTAGCTCTCTCAGTCTCATAAATTCCACAAAAAAATCCCTTTTACGCGAAGTCAGCCGACCCTGCGTCCTCCAAAGTCTTACAGCAGTAAAGAAATGACCGTTCTTAAAAGAAGGCATATTATGGCTTATTAGTGAATATTGTATTGTCTAGGAATACAAAAACAAATTTGAGAAAAATATAAAATCCTGAAAACGTGAAAATCGCTCTTCTCTGTAACCAATAAGTGATAGCCTGGCGCTAAAATAATGCGTCAAAACGAAGGATCTTCGCTCTCATCTTAGAAAAAGCAGTGTTAAGGGGTAGATTTTTTTTTTAAATGTTGGCCCAAAAATTCAGATATCACTGCTTACTTACGCCTTGTATGAGTCTCGAAGGAAGAAGTTGGATCCGGCCTAGTCACCTGGACCAGATGAGATCCCAGGTGTACTTCTACGTCAACTACCTGAATAATTAGCGGAAACTATCTGTATAATCTTTTGAAAATCGCTCGAAGCTTATAAAATTCCTGAACCATGGAAGTTGGCAAATGTCGTACCCATCCATAAGGGAGGATCACGGCTCTATCCCACCAACTACCGACCGGTCAGTTTTACACACATTTTTTGTAAGCTGATGGAAAAAATAATTGAAGTCGACTTTGTCGCCCGATAAATTTCGCCACCAAATCAGCCAAGTCCAGCATGGTTTCTATGAGAGGAGATCCTGTCTTGCAAAGGTAGAATTCGAGTGGCATACCTAATGCAGCGTACTGATGGCAGGCAGAGCGTATAGATTGGGCCAATCAGATTGTGGCCCCAATAGAGGAATAATATGCCGAGTGGCTTTCGGGCTGAAGAGATTGATAGGGTAGAACACTAATCATGGCCGGCGGCTTGATCGATCTCCTCACTCGCGCGGCATGAATCAATCGATATTGCACCGTCGGACGAGTAATCAGGACAGACCTGCCCTAACAGATTA